TGCAGTCGATAAATGAAGTGGGGCTGGCTCCCCACTTGACCACACCCACTTTTGATGCAAAATGAGATCAAATTGAAATTTGCAAACAATTAAGACGTGCTTATACTAAAACAAGTGGGGCGCAAGCTCTACTTGACCACACCCACTAAGCAGGCAAAATGTAATTTATATCCGCCCAACGTGCCCATTCATATAAAATTTGTTTGCATTTGCTTTGATTTTATAAGTATGCAATCCTTTAGGCGGGCACGATTTCTCAACGGGAATATCTTACCCACAACCTAGGCGTCCCGCCGAACCAAAGTTCATGATCATATCTATTGGGGAACTCTGAGAATTTATGCCCGCCCAACGTGGCTATTCATATAAAATTTGTGGGAATTTGCTTTGATTTTATAAATATACAATCCTTCTGTGTCTACAATTCGACACGTGTGTATCATCTTCTGTTGCAATACCGTATTCAAATCAGATCATGGGGTCAAGCGTAATAGACTATTCGTCCCTGAGGTTAACAAAGCTTGTGGGGTCCGAGGTCGTTTATCAAATAAACCGAAATGATGTTACCAGCGGGTCACCAGTGTTTAAGGAAAATCTAAATCTTCTCCCAAGTGAAAATGAATGTGATGTGATGCACGGGAAACTTTATACTATAATATTTTACAAACAACATGCCTTCTTGATCGAGGTCGTATTTGAGCGGCGCGAAATCAATTTTTTTGATTCCTTAGAAGGCTATATTCAAAATGCAGAACGGAATAATATATTCAAATGCCTTAAAAATTTATTGTCTGTAAAATATTCCATCGATGCCTGGGAAATTTTTAACCAAGAATCCACTCAACAAATTAACAACGACTGTGTTGTAATAAGCTTAGTGAACCTTCAAATGCGACTACTTAGTTTAAATCATCTTAAAAACGTGGACCGAAATAATTGCCGGGAATTTCGTTACAAGATGATTGCCGATCTAATAAACACGACGCAAGATGGAAGGATGTTTTTGGACAAATGTGGCCACGCAACAGAAGTAATCAAACAGGTTAAAAAACGACAACAAGTGCCGACAACAATATCAAAAATGTTATCCAAAAAACGAAAAATCGTCGATGTTAGGAAGAAATTGACTCTATTTGAGGGAGTGGAGCCGAAAGGAGAATATGTCGTTGATATGTAGCAGGAGTTAAAAACATTGAAAAGTACACTATTCAATAAGGTCAAGAAATACGACAAGACTTATAGCAAACTGAAGGTCATGACAAATGCATTTTTGTTGTGCAAAGCGGATTTGGAGTTGCAGTTTGAAGTGTGTATAATTGACAAATTCTTAGAAACGAAAGCGTTCCTGCACATTTTAATATCTATAAATACGAAACTGTATCGTTGTGAATTAAGTGAGTACATAAATTTACAAATTAAAAACATCCGTTATCTCACTTATTTAGTTTTTATATATGTATGTATATATATATTTATGGTTGATCATTTTTTGTTGTGTCTTAAAACAGGACTTGTGTAAGTTTAAACCGAAATAAAGTACTAGTAGCAATGAACAAGTGACTACACCCCAACCATTAGCATAATTAGATATTACCATGAGGTAAAGCGCATCAGAAATCTACGGTGCTGAGGATTACAACTAAGTTGATAGACCCTTCCCGTCGTTGGTAGTTAATACTTCAAAATAAAAGTAAATGTCAAAAAATTGTGTACATTTACAAGAATATATGAATTCGGATTCTCAGAGTTTCCCAATAGATATGATTACGAACTAAATCCCGGCGGGACGCCTAGTTTGTGGGAAGATATTCCGTTGAGACATGGTGCCCACCTGAAGGATTGCATACTTATAAAATCAAAGCAAATGCCCACAAATTTTGTATGAATGACCACGTTGGGCGGATATAAATTTCATTTTGCCTGCTTAGTGGGTGTGGTCAAGTAGAGCTTGCGCCCCACTTGTTTTAGTATAAGCACGTCTTAATTGTTTGCAAATTTCAATTTGATCTCATTTTGCATCAAAAGTGGGTGTGGTCAAGTGGGGAGCCAGCCCCACTTCATTTATCGACTGCATCTGCTTCCGGAAGCGAATATGAGTATAATCTCATTTTACCCCGAAACTGGGTGTGGTCGAGTGGGGGGGTGAACCATACTATTTTTTTAGTTTGGCGAATCCGTAATATATCGATTTAAACTATAATCTCAATGTGCCCCATAAGAAGTGGGTGTGGTCGCATGGAGCCCCTTTAACTTTTGTGGCACCCCAAAGAGTTATCTGGCCATTTAATACCAAATTCGGTTCGGCTCGGCTCAGGGGTTTCACTACGCTGGGCTGGGCTACGCTGGGCTGGGCTAACTTCTAATACATGTGACCGACATGTCCCACACTTTCCCACAACGAATTATGCGCTTCATTGTCGCCCAGGAAGTTATTTTGCGAGGTACTGATTACAGTTTTCGCAACTAACGCTCATGACGTGTGTAAAGTAAAAGAAGTGGTGTACAAGTCGAGTAGCTATCTTTGAATCTGCATTGAGGAAATTGGAACGGACTAGGCAACGAATTCAGACAGCTATTGGGTCGGATCCCCAAGCATCCCAAGCAGGCCAGGAGCAAGGAAGTAATCTGTCTGGAGATAGCGAGGTCGTCCAACAGCAGTTGTCTTATGCTGACGTCATAGGTAGATAAAACTGAGCAGAAGATTGGTGCTAGCTAGTTCCATGAGTAAATATGTATAACATGTGGAAATTGAATTACGAAGTACTCTGGAACTTTCAATAATTTCAATAGCGACCAAATTACAAAAAGTCATTTATCAATTATATTTTTTAAAATTTACCACTGTATTAATTTGCCAACTTCCCCAGTACAGAAGTTGCATTGCTATGAAGCGGAGACTTTATTTTGATATCGTACTGCACAAGAGCCGACCATGCACTATATTCATGGGAAATTGAGACGTGAAAAATTAAGCTTCTGAGTACCGGTGCTCGGAAAACGAAAATATTGGTGAAAGTGCTAATAAGTATGAAATCAGGATTGAAAAGAAATTTTGGCATACTAAACATTTTCTGGCATACTAAAGAAATGTTGGCATACTACAAAAAGTTTTCTTTTGGCAAATTGAAGGTGTCTTGATAAATGAGGTCAAAGGTCACATATGTCTCAAATTTTGTTTTGGTGACATGGAATGTCATGACATGACGTTAGAACTTTAACCATTAACCCCTGCCCTGAAAGCTTTAAACATTAACCCTTAGATGCTTAAAACACCTGCAGATATGGCAATTCGCTTCACCCATTGTTTACACTCCGTTAAACGGTTTATTTCATACAATGAAACACCTCAGATAACGGGGTCATTACGTTTCAACGCAAACCATGTCAGATAATTGCAATTGATATGTGTTACAATTATTGTATAACGTATTGTGTTGAAATTTCTGTAAAGAGTCATTAGCCGAATTTTTACACTTAACTGAACTGAACTTCATATGAATATAAGTAAATTCTGGCAGGAAGTCAACCCGAATGCGTCATGTTTACAGTGTGTATGTGTATGTGCGAAAATCATATTACTAATGGGCTTGGGTATCCGGGGTAATCTGTCCGGTTTGAACACATGCGCTTGGCTCATGGGTTGGGGTAACGTGAGATTTTACTTCATAATATGTTTCCCCTTTACATGTTTATATGTACAAACTCACCCAACTCAAAATGAATAATACGTGACAATGTAAGAGGTCATGCGACCTCAACAATGGGGACACAACATCAGAGGTCACGCGACGTCAACAATGGGTAGACGTCAACAATGGCGTGTCCTCAACAATGGGGACACGTTAGAGGTCACGCGACCTTAACAATGGGGACACAACATCAGAGGTCATGCGACCTCAACAATGGGGACACAACATCAGAGGTCATGCGACCTCAACAATGGGGACACAACATCAGAGGGGTCACGTGACTTCAACAATTGCGTGACCTCAACAATGGCGTGACCTCAACAATGGCGTGACCGCAACAATGGCGTGACCTCAACAATGGCGTGACCTCAACAATTGGGAGCCGTCAACAATGGCGTGACCTCAACAATGGGATGAAGGTTTATATGAACGGAAACAGGTTTTTAGTTTCTTTTGGTTTTGATGAGCGCAAATTAGGGTTTGTTTTTACTCTTGCTTTTTTATAATTTTGCATCCTGAAGTCTCAACTTTGTGAAAAAAATTCCTCACTAGAAACTACGTTTTATAATGCAAAATTATAAAAAAACAGAACTCATTGTCACCACATTATTGCAAATTCTAATTCTTGGCCCGCATATGCGGGCTAAAACGCTTCTTAATTAAGATTAAGTTATGACGCACATCCACTTGTAGCCGAACCTTCAAATAAATTGGTTTCATTTCCGCTGCTAGATTACGCATTGATCTGTTAAAATAAATCGGTAGCATCATCTATATAAATAGTCGGTTGTACGATAGTGACGTCAGATATTTAAGAGGTAGTGCATAAATAATCCAAACAAACTGGATTGAATTTATGCATTCCTCACATGTTGAGTCCATCCTAGGTTTCTTGTAAGGAATTTTTGTAATTCTGGAATTCTTGTAAGGAATTTTACATATCCACGCCCGTTGTTTACGATCCGTCGTGTTGGAAATAATTCATAGACAATTAATTGATAAGATGTACTTTGGCGGAGATCGGTAAATTTCATCAACTTCGCAAACTTATCTATTGATAAAATTGTCCATACATATTTAACACAAAACTGATCTTTGACGTAAATTGGTGCTTACTTACATACATATATATGGATAAATGTATGTAAATTTGCATGTAGGCACGATGTGAGATACCCGAGTAGAAGTGCATATTATTTTAATACTGAGGCAATATACTGAGTATTGGATAAGTATTCGCATCGGATTTTTATAATTTCTGAACGGTGCCGTATTAGAATTACATTCGACATCAATATTTGATCACCTGCATTGGTTCTGTATTATTTGATGGGGGTGACGATTCCCACTGAGTTATGTTTTTGTGTGGGTGAATTTAGTGGGTGTGGCACTTGGTGGAAATGTGGGTGGATATGTTAGAATTGTAGGTTGCACAATAAATGTAATTGAAACAGGACACTTGGTTTCAGTTGAAGTCAATATATTTTACATTAGGAAAATTGAGACGAATTACAATTGTGTTGGTCAGAAAGATAATGAATTTGAGTCAAAATAGATAAAAGTACATTGAATGAGAGAGGCTCAAGACTGACAAGAAATCACATAAGAGCATCACCCGAGAATGGGTATTGCACCCTTATTTATAGTTTTAGTGAATGAGGAAAAAGGTGCACGAAAATTAGTGTACATAAATAGACTTCGTGGAAACATGTTACAAAACTTGGTTCATGGAAAGAAAAAAGGTTCACTTAATTGTTAAATTAACTTAACCAAAATTGTTATGCGTCAGCAAGTTAAATGCATTAAGATTATAGAATGTTGAACTTGAATGATAATTTTACAAAAATGACAAACTGAACATTATTCAAGTGTGAATATTTTTAGTTAAAAATAACAAATGCTTAAAGTATACTCATCGAATATTGGCATCCCGAGTCAATCCAATACTTGTTTAATATTATTTTAGTATTATATTTATATAATAAATTTAGCTCCTCCCAGAAGCTCAGATTTGGTGGGAAAACTATACTACACTTTATCCCCATTCCTTGCCTCTGCGAGTAGTTGTTTCGCAATTAAATCTTGTCTGAAATTATTGGAGAAAAAATTTTCCGTTGTAATTTTTCCTAACGAAGGAACAGTGGAGGCCGTTCTAACAATTTGGGTCAATCTTGCCAAGAATAGTTGTCAGTATCCTGATTTGGAAAAAATCACTGCAGCAAATTTACGAAAATTTATTAGTAGTAGGCCCTCCTAAAACCAGACTGGAAATCCTACAATTGCAAAGTTTTGGTACAGTCAGGTAACAAATTCATTTCAAAATTATTGTACCAAGTTTTGGTACTTACCGTATTTCAATATATTCATTTAACATGATAATAAACCTTTTTTGCATTTTTTAGAAAATTTAATAGATGCAAGACACAAGGCCAATCTTGCCCAAGATACATCAGGGGTTGAGTCAGAATCCACACCCACCGCGATCACCCGTGCCACAGAAGGCAGCGCCCATTACCAGCTCCAGTTCTGATGATGAAATACCAATCCCTGCGGATGTAAATACTTCCGCACTTACTCGCTTTAGCATTCCTGAGGAAAATCTACATCTTGGTAAGACCAATTTGACTTGACCGTTTGCTTTAAAATAAATAAAATAAGTTTTGAACGTCCTCAGGTGAGCAGGATCCACTGGTCCATGACAACTTCCCAAACTCACTACTTCACCATATCAGAGGGGAGTGGTTTCTCACACAACCATGCCAATGATAGCGAAATTTTGCCACTTGATCCTGTCCAAGTTCAATATCTCTCATTGCTTACATCTACTCTTCCGGCGAAAGCTGCTTTCACCAACTTTAAGAATTTGGAACTTGCATTGAAAAGTACGAATTTTTTGTATTATACATATTTGTAGATGTTTTTATTTATTTTCAATATCAGAGAAGTAGGCAAAATTGAGTATGAAATCAAGACGGAGCTATATTTTTTATTAAAATATTTGAGCGTAAAGAACCATATTTTACCTTTCCTGTAGATAGTAGCTTGTTAAACATTTTTCGTGTATGCAAACTCTCAATTTGTTCCATTCCTTTTCCCCAAACATCAATAGCTCGAAAATGTGTTCTGTTACCCCTAGAACTAAATAATTTTGTTATTTTTGCTATGTAATAATTACTTAGAACAGTAACGTAAATGTGTCTGGTATTGTAAAGGTTTGTATGTAATTATAGCTTTCTTTCTAGAGTACCATGTTAAGTATATTATTGAAAATGAATAAAAAATATCATATTACATGAGTGCAATCTAAGTATTATATTATAACGCAAATCCAATACTGATTCAATCTTTGCTTCATATTATACTAACATTGTCTGAGTATTATATTACTGGTCGCCAATACTGGGCTAATACTTAAACAATATGTAATCCCGCATTGCCCATGCATAGGGACTGGAGTATGCGCCGAGTATCGGCAAAAGCGACAAAATTAATATTGAAATTGTTAGTTAGATCTAATATTAATATTAGCGAAAATTTCTACTCGGGTATTCAAACTCTCATTTTTATACATAGCGATTTCCGACAAAGCGGAATAAATAAGTAATCGGTCGATTTTTAGAAAAATTTTCTGACGTCAATAGATTGATTACAAGAATTGGTTAATTTAATAATATGAAATATTTGATCTTCCAATGTGCGTCACTCGGTGGTGGGATCGTTTAGTATTTAAGGACGCCTTGATGCCTATCATTGGTCACACATTACTTAAAATCCGGAAAATATTGATTAAATTCGGTATAAGCATCGACAAAAATGAAAAATTCGATTAGCGTTGCGATTTTGGTGATCATTGGCACCTTTGCGGTAGGACTGGAAGCGTCTAATAATTCGACAGGCGTTATTACGCCCACCCCGACGAGATGCATACAGTGTAAGTTGTAACGTATATACGGAATAATTATTTTTTGCGAGTTTGCTCCATACAATTTACCCTAAATTAATATATTGCAGATGAATTTGGACAATTCATACAGCTGGAGATGACCAGCTGTACGACTCCTCCATGTTCTATGGTTGTGGGGCGAACGTATGAAATTGGGGTCGCGTTTGTTCCAGGTAAAATATAATTCAGGTGCTTTTATAAAACAGTTTGTAACCATCCCTGCTTTGTGATAGGGTTCACTTTTCCGGAAATCAGTTACGATGTTGTGCTACATTTAACACCGTCCGGTTCCTTGCAATTGGCGAGTGTCCCTATGCGGAAAGAATTCATTGCCGGGATTACGTACAAGGAGACGGTAGAAATTTTTATCCAGCCAGGATGGGAAGGGGTAAGTTGAGATATTTACATATCTACATTAATAATCCTGTAGTACGATGAGTTTTTCACTATTCTAAACATATGTGTGGACAGAGCACTGGTCAACTTTATGTCAACTTATGGTCTGATAGCAGTGCGCCGCATGACCACGTGAGCCGGTGTTTCCTGGCAATGATTACCAATTAATGATAATATATCCCTGAAATTTCATGATCAAATTTATGTTAATGAATACATATTTATATCCCATGTTTGGAATAAACTAAATTGCAATCTAAATATTTTGTTTGTATGACATAACCACGTTTTTTGATGAGATATGGATTTGTATCAGAAAAGTTGAAATTTCATCAACTCCCATAAAATTATCACGAATATAAAAAAAACACGAAATGTGTAGACTTAGTTGGCGTTTGTGTAAAGCGTTTGCCGTATCACTGACGGAGCGAACTGGAGCGTACGGCTTCAGGCCTTACCAGGGGCCCAATACCTATCTAAGGAGGGGAACCCCTCCACATGCCACTCTCAGATCCCGATTCCATTTGCATATTTTGTAGCCCTAGGTGAGTGGTGGATAACCCTAAAGTGGTTTTACTCCATGGCCCCATTTGGGCCCGCCACACCCTTTCGAAGGGGTTCCCAGTGCTAAACTAGCTGATTTCAAACCTTCGCCCAACATCCAATTTTGATCGGATTTTGATACTTTTTGCATTTTCTTGATCCCAGAGAGTTTCTTTATCGTATGCGATACCAAACTCAACTTTTTTGAAATTTTGAAATTTTCGAAAACACACCCCCGGGTAGGAAATTTTTAAAAAACAGAAAATTAAAAAAAAGTTGAGTTTGGTATCGAATATGATAATGCAAGTCTCTGAGATCAATAAAATGCAAGCCGATCAAAATTGTATTTTTGGCGAAGGTTTGAAATCAACTAGTTTAGCATTGGGAACCCCTTCGAGGGGGTGTGGCGGGCGCAAATGGGGCCATGGAGTAAAAGCTCGTTAGGGTTATCCACCCCTCACCTAGGGCTACTACACATGCAAAGGGCATCATGATCTGAGAATGGCATGTGGAGGGGTTCCCCTCCTAAGTATATGAATGCAGACCGTACTAAGATGTACCTAGGGTGTCTTACGCTATTTTAATAAAGCTAAAAACTGAGCTTAAAAATGTAGTCGACGTCGATGAATTTGTTTCGTTTGTGCAACGTGTTCCCAAGACCTCTAGCTAACTTGCCTACATCGTCGTTTCCACGAATTAATTCCTTTTCCTATATTTTCGAGGGTAATCTTCTTCCACTCATCACTAACTTTTTTATAAATACGCAAAACTACTTTTGCGGGGAGTTAGGTCAGTTTTTAGCTTTATTAAAATAGCGTAAGACACCCTGTAATAAAGGACGAACCGTTCCAAGACGGAGTTCCTAAAGCGTGTGGGAGAGTTCCAAATGCGTAAATTGTGGTTCGACATTTCTGTAAACAAAGAGTAATGGATAGGCTTTCTTGGATTACTGAAAGACTAGTATTTGTTATTTCTGCGCGCACGAGGTCAGAATGAGCAGGAAAACCAGACGGAGTTGCATATCAACTTTCTGCATGCCAAGTAAATGAACACATAATTGAAATTAAAACTGAGAGGGCTACTAAACAAACAAATGCTCCACACAGTTTAATTTGTAAATAAGGCTGATAATGGCTTAGCCTTCTCTCTGTCATGTATGTGATCCGAGGAATGAATAACAAGTTTAGGTTAATTATGTTTTTGGTGTGCATATACATAATGCACATATATTTCCACCGTGTCAGTTACAAGAAAGAACCGTCTTGGATTAGCTTTGCCAAAAGTACGCTAATAAATTTCAATATTGCATATCATAATGTTTGTAACTTAGGGATTTTTAATGTATGTATTCCACTTACAAATATATGTTTTTTGGTATAAATGCTACAGTATTCAAGCAGGGGTAGGATTAATAAAAGTGATTCTAGACAAATACTTTCTGACTAGAAGGTAGATTTTGCTCCAATGCTGCATATCAAATTTCTCAGGTCAACAACAAGTCAATCGTATAATTCACAATGTTCTCCAAGATCGCCATTTTCCAAGACTTTGTCATAGGCCCAACCGGTCCCCCAGAGATTGCCACATTTCTCAATGGGCGGGCTAGTCTTATTTCATACTTTGTTCTGCATTTTCCTTTCAGAGTTCTAAGACATATGACTGACATTTCCCACAATATCGTCATCTGCGGAATAAGTATCACCAAAACGAAGAAACTAACCATACTGGTTGCTGGAGCTATGAAATACATAGTCATAGGAACCCTACCGGGTAACCGAATTGTCATGTAGTTGCAACAATTGTGATGCACATGCCAAAAAACAATATCGGAGGTATTGCAAAATAGCAGAAGGTTTGGTTAACATAATCATTCCAAATTTGCATTTCCTTGTAAACTTGTATAACCCTGGTTTGACCATTTGCGCCAATTTCTGTACCTTTTATACACCTCGACATAATTTGCGTCGACGCCAGCAACAGAATAAGTCCCATAATAGATAAAGAACAAAATGATTTTAGAACTTCTAGCGCGCACCATGACAAAACGCAAATTCGAAATGGTACGACTACTAAATATTTTGGAATAGAAGATACTTGGAAAACCGGAAACTCATTTAGAACCAAGAAAAGGGGATCAAGGTCCATGAAGACGATGGGAACCATTGTTAAAGAGTAGAATGGAGAGATCTGAACAAATGCATAGTATCCATATTCTAGAAGTTGAATAAGTCGAGATTCTTGCCGAATTGTACCAAGATCTGGAAAGTTGACACAAATTAATATAATTCGTGCCATAAATCGTCTATGTGTAGTCAGTAAGAAACCCGAATGTGAAGTTGAAGTCATAAAATCTTCCATCCAGAATTATCCGGATGTATCTTACCTCGTAATCTTTTTCCAAATTCAGCAATTGGATTGATCATCTCACATATTTGCTTCCCTCGAAAAGTAAGCACCCAGCCTACAAGGATTGCTAGGGGACAGGCAAATATTCCATAGAACAAGACCACTGTTCTCATCGTTTGGTGAGGCCCGCGGGTTGCGCTAGAGATATAGTTGAAATAAAGCCTGTCAATCAAAATGAAAACAGACATTACGTAGTGAGCGCAGAAAAACAGAAAGGAAAGTATTGAGAACATCTTTTTCCGGAACGAGACACTTTTCAAAAGCATTTTCCTCGTTTTTATCGAAAATTTGATCGGAAGCATAGGTCCGTATAGGGATGAACATTTTCCCGCAATACTCCACAGGGCTGGGGAAACAAGATCTGTTTCTTCGAAAGGAGGTTGGTTATGGAACCTGAAATTTTTGAAGAAACCAAAAAATCCTTTCGGAGTCATGGCTAGTGACAAGAATTATTTAGAAACATATCTAGTTTAGATTCCAGACAGAACTAGTTAAGGTTCTACTTTTCCATTGTAATACACATTTTGTGAGGGATCGATAATTTCATTAAGGAATTTTGTAGCTGAAAAATTGGTAATCGATTGGCTTGGAGATTACCGATCTGTAAATGTACAAGGTGGTTTAAAAATTATCTATACTACAATGCCAAATAACTTGCAGCGGATTTAGATTTATTGGACATATTTCTTTAACTGCAAATGAAGTTAATACTGTTTTGGCGACTATTATTACAAAAGGCGACAAGCGTAGTGTATAGTGAGCAATAGAACAGTATCAAAACGTTTAAGATTTATTTGCCTTCTAGTCAGTCTACTTTTTGAACCGCCTTCTATATCAAGAATAAAGGAAATGAATCAAGCATCTTGAATTTGATTAAATTTTGTAAATCAATATGGATTTTATGGCACGGTCGCAATCTACCTTGTAAAAATCAACCGTGGCTTCGCTACGGTCTAAGGCCGTAGCAAAACCACCCATTTTATACCATACTTATTCTACTTAATTCGATTGGTTTAGGTTTTCTCATCCCATAAATATTAGATTGCATAGCTATGTAAGTCATTCCAAGAAATCCAATTTCATTACTGTGTAATTACATACCAGAAACTATTTTTCTGTCCTCCAACTCTTATTCCCCGCCCATATTAAGTAGCATATACATATGTATGTGCTACTTAATATGGATGGGGAAATGTGTATGATTTTATTGATATATGAATAAAATCATACATCTTTTGGTTTGAATGATATCCTTCAACTACATATGCGATTGTATTTAATTCAAATTTCTGTGGTACAGATTGGTTCCTTCAATGTCTAAGAAATTGTTGCAATTTGAAATATAAGCACCTCGGCGGCAGGCGGAGGCGGCGTGTAAATTGATATCGGCGTGTGGTCGCGCCCTCTGTCAGTCTAGTCATCAGCGGCAGATGTGAAGCCCTCAAAAGCTGCAGATCTTTATGTGTACTTATTAACTTGTGTTTTTGAAGACGTGCAGATCTGCTGCTCTAAAAAAGGTCACATTTCAAAGATTTGTGGATGTGCAGCATTTTGTGCCTGAAGGCTGCAGATCTGCAGGTCTAGTTTCCGTTTCTCCGAAATCATAATTTTACGAGCAACTCGAAAAGTGTATCTGACGAGAAAAAGTACTAAAAATTAATTCATGATATTTACTAACTAGTATTTAGTAAAAATTAATTATATGCTCAATTAAAGTTATCAGTAATTTAGTTCAGTTTAGCCTGCCACACTAGTTTTTGGCATGCTAAAAATTATTTTTATCGCTTTTTTTCGTAACCAAAATCCAACAACTTTTCTGCTTAAAGGATTTTGATATTTTCTGTATGTATCTAAATATCTGTCATTTAAGTACACGGTGGCTAAAATGTCACGTTACAATGGACAATTATTCAATAGTATAAAATTTTAAAACATTTAAAATGCTCCAATCTGTAAAATGTTTTAAAACATTTTGAGAAATAATAAGAAATTCACGCAAATTAAATTGGAAGATGTCAAAAAGTATAGGTAAACATAACACGGGGTCACCTCACACTTCAGATAGTATTTAACAACAAAAATTCATTCCACATTCGCAGAACAAAGTATTGAATACTTACAATTAGTATTCAACTACATAAATTTACCTCTAATCTTCGGCACCCCTGTCATTTTTAATTAAAATGCCAAGCATTGTACGATTTATTTTCCAGTGGAAAATTTCCATGTATTCAAAAATGAAGAAATTGTCACATCGGTTAACCAATCAATTTCCAGGTAAGCTATTGTGTGTTTGACCCAACTTAATCATCGAGCATGAAACCGACAAACGAACCCCAGGAGGAAACCCGAACAGCACTGTCGTGTAAACAATTAGTTGATAAGTTATAGATAAGGTATACCTGTCCAAGATAAGCCGTTATCACGATAAATTTCTCATCAATGGTAATAAACAGCCATTAATAAGTCCATTATATATTCATTGATGTCCTAAAATTCGCTGCGTCTACTTCCCAAATAATCACAAAATTTAGTAAATCCCATGCTTGTGGCAGTTTTTTTTAAAATCGCCTAAGCGCTACTTTCACAATATTAAATTTTTACTTGTATGTAGTTTATGCATTGGCGAGAGATAGTTTCACTTCATTTTTAGAAGGTTAACTAAAACAAGGGAAAGGTCAGCAAATCGGCAGACTACTTTTTTAATCATTGACTAATTTCACATTACGAAATTAATTAACATTTAATAAAATTATTGTAGGAAATCGACAATATAATTATTTTAAACATTTATTAATTTGTGTTTATATTAATTTAAATATCTTAATAGAAAATGCAGAAACATAATTTTTGATCACTATTTTTTACAGTTTGGAAGAAAAAATGGATGAAAAATAGGATCCAGAAGTTCTCGAAATGTCGTCCAGCCTTTACGAGAACTGGACGGTAGCTACTATAGAACGTGATCTACAACCGGAAGTTAGCACCACGCTACCGGACTTTGATCCCCCAATTCGAACCAGAATATCGACACCATTCAGATGTGTTGCATGTATAGGGAAAACTTGCGTTATTTTCTTCCTCCTAGGCCTGATAGTTGGAATATTCGCCCTGCCAATTTCGATGATTGTCGTCGGCTGGAAACACGTCGATGAGTGTCCAGCCGAAGAATTGCCGATTATTTTGATGGTCGGTGGACTTATATTTCTCATCCAAATAATTGTAATCCCCTGTTTTAAAAAAGACGGGGGAAAATATATCACTGGGTTTGTGGCACTGGTAGAACTTGGTTGGTTACTTGCCGCCGCGGTATTGCTTTATAGAACTGATTTTGTCACAGATGATTTACAAAATCCTAATTATTGTCGACCTGTCGTTTATTATTTTACCTGGTGGATGGTCAGTATAATAATTGGGTGCAGTGGGGTAACTATAATGATGGTATTATGTGTGACATACCGTGAAAAATGCAAAAGATTTTGTGAATAAATGTATGTATTTATGTTGGTATGAAGGAGTGTCATATTTCCATTTGGGGAGATTTTGTTTAACTTATTTTCTAAAAACTTAATCGGATCAATTTGCTGGGGCATGTTTGCATAAAAAATTTAAATATGTAACTAGGCATCTTAATCAAAAAGTGGAATATCAAGTATTAAAGATAACCGGTAATAAATAGTTTTGTTGGAAATGAATGACGTTGTTGTTGTCTCGAAAAATGACCTTTGTACACACGTGCGCTACTAAAAACAATCTCACAATGACATACATGGACACCTTCAATTCAGCGATCACGATAAGCCAGCTTCTGTTTCAATTACACAGAATTCAACCTATTTCCTATTGGACTTCAGTCCACAAAGCGTCGTCCATCATAATATGTTTATTATCTTGTCATTTCTGATGACACGAAAAAACATACGTCACAATTCGGTCAAAGATAAGGCAGGTGTGCACATACACTCTAAGACATTTATGGTTATTTAGAGTATCACTGGATATTGACTATATAAGAGAAAGACTGCGTAGAATGAAGCCAATATGCTGTGTTATGTGCACAGGAGAGGTAGATGTTAACAGTAGAAGCTCTTTATTGTTAATCATGGCAATTACATATGAGCATGGGTCTTAAGTAGCATATACATACATACCTAACTATACACATACCTAACACACCCCACGAAGACAAAGAGATTTTCCCCTGAAAATCAAACATAACTAACCTAGTAACTTAACTTAACCACTCAACTAACGACGAACAACGAGCCTGAAGACTCGGAACAAAGAAGGAGGCGGATATAACTACGTAGTTGAGGCAGCCATTGCTGCGAGCATACCGAACAAAATTTGGACAATTTTACACACCCAATTGGTAATTATTTACATAAATTTTGATAAAATTTTGATAAAATTGTGTGGTGATATATACAAGTATTGAAATCTACAGGTTTTAAGAGAACGGAAACAGCATCAACAGCATTTAGAAACAACAAGGAGCATATGTACATACGTAACATGGTAAGTGAATAATATTGAGTTTTTTGTTTGGTTTTTTGACAATTTTGTAAATGTTTTTTGGTTTTTGAAAAAGCGATATTTACAATTATGTATACTACAACTATCATTACGTAGATAAAGCTAATAAATCTGATGAAATGGTGGCACGACGGTGCAGCCAAAGTGACCTAAGGGTACCCTCTGGGGGGAAGTCCTTAAGGGAGGGGGGAAGGGGGATTTAAGTACCCCCGCCAGAGGTCAAAGGTCACCGGGGGTGTGGTCAGTGGGTGGAGGGGGGTCCTCGGGAACTTTAAAAATTTCAGAAAACATGGGAAATTGTGAGTGACGTCATCCACCGACTGCCATACTCCCGTAACTAAAATAAATGAAATACATATTAGTGGTGTTATTAATAAAATCAAAATAAGTAGTGGCATCATTGATGATTAGTGGTTAGTAATAATAATGTGAAATGAATGGTTTTTTATAACGAATGTAGATACAAGAACTTATGCATAATTTCCAAAGGCGTCGAAGTGGTGGTGTCCAGAGGTCGGCGGAGGGGGTGCAGTTGGGAAGGTGGTCATCCGATGAGCATTTGGAATTGAAGGGGGTGGGGATGCAGGGCGTTTCGAGTAGATGAGTCGAGGATTTGGTTTAGGGTAAATCGGGTCCGGGTCAGAGTCCTTGGAGTCCTTGGGGTTTCGTAATGGCTTAGCGAGTTGGGTTAGGCGGCGGAGAATGGTCAAGGCAATTAGAATCAAAAGAAGGAGGAGAAGAACGGTGAGGGCATCTGAGGTGACTGAAATAGTATCGAGAATAGGGTTGGCTCGTACACCAGGGAAAATTGGAACTGGAATACAAAATAATTTGTAGGAAATCCAAATTACGAGAATTATGACAAGAAATAAAATAATTGAAGAAGTGTAAGAAACGTATGCGGCTGCATGGATTTCCATTGGGATGTGGTGTGAGGCCGGAAGTGGAGGTTCGCTGTAGTTGGTATGAGGGATGGACTCATGCCATTCTTGATTGATAATTTCATCCAAGGTCGAGAAATGAGTCGCATTGGTGATGATTTGAGTTTTGAGCTTGGTGAAGGGGGCGGGGATTAAATGGTGGTAGGTGTGGTCCACATTGGAGATTAGGCAAGGAAAGTCGGGGGTCACCAGAAGAGAGTCCACATACAGGCGACTGGAACAAGACAATTGGACAGCCAGTAGTCCGATTTTCGGTGGGGAAATGATGCGGGAGGCACTTTCAGAGGAGGGAAAGAGTTCTATCGTGGAATTGGGGGCAATAATTCCAAACCGAGCAGGTCCTAATTGAAGAATCAATGGATGGTAGAGTTTGGTGCAAGAAAGATGGCAATTTCGATTAATTTCAGCGACGGAGGAACTCGTGAGTACAGATCGAATACAGTTATTTTCGGGGATGATAGGAGCATCGTAACGCGGAAGCCGGCAGAGAACATGGGTTGAGGGGTCACAGTTGGGGAGCAGGGCACTCGTAATGGGAATGAGACGTTCGTTGGAAGACGCGACGTAATTAATATCGATTTTGACTTGACAGACATCATCGTTAAAGAGGAAGGGAAGGGGTTGTAGACGGTGCATAATATATTTTCTTGATAAGGTCACAACTGGAATACGCACAGTTGCGATAACTTTAGCTTTGCTAAATAAACACGTCGCTAACGGGTAGCGGTAAACTTCCTCCAACCCTCTGGAGGGAAAGGCGAGCTCGCGATTGTGTTGCAATAATTTTTTCTGTAAGACCCGTACATCGCGTCGCAACATTTTTAGGGGAACGAGAAACCGGGGGAGTCGTGACTGCCTGCAGTCGTTGACGGTTGCGATCCAATTTTGATTGAGAACGGTCTGGAACTGAGCGACGGCCAGGGCATAAAGGGCATTGTGGTCATCCTGGGCTTTTGATTCAATGATTTCTTCTTCTCTTGCTACTGTACGGAATTCGTTTTGCACCGTCCGGTCTGTTTCGGAGAGGGCTTTCTCGAGTGCCTGCAGGTCTCTATTAAAAATTTGGGTGGATTGAACTGCAAAGGAATGTTCGGCTGTCAATGCGGCTTGAAGTTGTTGGGAAAAGGTGTCAAGGTGCTACTCATTGAGTTGAAGTTGGTTCACAGATTTCTGCTGTGCAACACCACAGCACCAATTATAAAAATCGCCAATCACTTCGATCGAACGCCGGCGGCGGGTAGAATTGGGGGATGGAAAAATAGGAAGTAAGCGGAGAGCAAGGGAGTGCGTAGAATTCAGGATTTGCCCAATACCAGTGTCATTCAGTGGGGTTAAAAGTCGAGTCCATTGGTCCAGGTCCGGCAGCTCCATTTCGTAGATCAGGGGAACAGTAGATTCGTAGGCGATAACGTTGACCGTGTCAACCAAAATCCCAGTGGAAAGTTGCGCAATTGGCGACGAAGATGGTTCTTCACAGGTGATAAAGTTGGCACCATAAACAAGTGCAACAAACACAAAGCACGTGGGATTCATTGTCCCACTTTGAAGGTAACTTTTTTACGTGAACGGAGATTATAATCGTGTGCAGGTGTTTGTAATGGTAGTTGTGGCGAAGCAAGTGAAAGAACCGGTGGCGAAGATTGCGACAACGTAGATTCGTAGAAACTGGGTTGTGGTGAAAGTTGAGGTAAATCAGGGTCAAACGCAGTAGTTAATGGAGCTGGCTCGGAAACAGGAGTGTAAGTGGCAATGGTAATGAGTGGAGCTGACGGCGACTCAATAGTGGGAGGGGAAGAATCTGGTGACGGCACATTAGGGACCGGAGGAAAAAGGTCCCCATCAGCAGAGTCGGGTAGTTTAGCACTTTGTGGGGGGTCTAAGCTCTCAGCGTGGGAAACGTCCAAGAGTTCTGGAGAAATTGTGCTGACAGTAGTGTCATCGGATCTTGGGTGGTAAAGCTTGAGCTTGTCTACATGGGTGGTTTCAGAGATAATTCTGCCATTGGACATTCTGGCAGTAATAACATAATTAACATCAGATAGTTTGCGACTGATGATGTAAGGCCCAAACCAGTACTGCATTAATTTGGACGCTAAGCCTTTTTTCTGTATATATTTGCGATGTAAGACTTGGCTACCTATCGGAAATTCCACATGTTGGCGTTTTTGATCGTAATAGAATTTTGCAACACTTTGAGAGTGTCGAATTCGGTCCCACGCTAATGTTCTTGCGGAGCGGACGTGAGAAAGGAATTTTTGCAAAGTTACATATTCTTCAGCGATAAATGCAGCTTCGGTGGGCAGGACCACCTCACGGCCATACAGAAGTTCGAATGGGCTAAAACCCGTGGTGGAATGCTTGGTAGAGTTAATGGCAAAGGTGATATGTGGGAGCCAAAAATCCCAATCAGAATGCGATTTTAGTGAATCTTGCAGATAAATCTGAATGCAATCATTTAAAACGGCGTGGCTACGCTCTACTTGTCCTTGGCTTTGAGGATGATAAGCGGTGGATAATGAATGTTTCATGCCAAGGGCAGCAGCAAGTTTAGAGAATAAGTCAGAGGTGAAGATTGTACCTTTGTCAGATTGGAGGATGGCAGGTACACCATGTCGACAGATTATTTTCTTCACAAGAAATTTGATGATATCCTCAGTTTGAGCGGATTTAACAGCTTCTGTTTCAAGCCACTTGGTCAGGTAACATGACGCTGTAATAATATATTTCTTGTTGGACTTGCTGCTCGGGAAAAGGCCTGCAACATCTATCTGAACACGCTGAAATGCATTCTTAGGGACTTTAATACACTGGAAAAGTCCGCTAGGTCTTGTTCGAGGTGATTTACGGAATTGGCACTGAGTGCAAGTTGCTACATAACGCATAATCTTGCGACGCATCCCAGGGAACCAATACCGTTGTTTTACGCGATCATAAGTCTTGGTGAAGCCCATATGGCCTGAAAAAGGGCTATCGTGACATTCCTCTAGGATGGAAGGAACTAGACTGGAGGGAATTACCAGAGTAAGACGATTGTATTGATTGTTGCGGTTGAAAAGTACATCATCTTTCAAAGTAAAATGTTCATTAATCTTGGCATTGTGACCTAGTTGGAGCTGGCTAATAATTTGATGAAGTTCAGGGTCGTCACCTTGGCTTGAAAGTAGATTCAGCGAGCCTATGGTTAATAGTGGAAGCTCGTCAAGTTCATCACGGCTGGGGTCAAAATGTTCGGTTGGATAACGACTGAGAAAATCGGCACATTCATGCTTCTTACCACTGACGTGGCGAATTTCCTTAATTGTATAGTCCATGAGACACACCACCATGCTCGATAATCGTGAATTAAGTTCCTTTTTGGATCCTTGGAGTAGCCAACAAATTCCATGACAATCAGTAGCAATGGAAATTGGGACACCATAAATGAGGGGGCGAAGACGCTTAAGTGCCCAACAAATAGCGGTTAACTCGAGCATGATTGAAGGATACCGTTTCTCTGCAGCGGAGAGAGTGCGTGAGATGAACGCGACAGGATGCTTCTCACCATCAAAAAATTGGAAAAGTCCGGCTCCAAGGCCAAAGGTACTTGCATCGGTTTCGAGCAGCGTTGGAAGGGTGGGGTCAAACAATCTCAGGACGGGGCGTGACAAGAGGCGTTCCTTGACGGTGTCAAACGCCAACTGATGTTCCTTTTTCCAATGAATCTTGCCTCGAATGGAAGATAAACATTGCAACGGATGGACGATACGTGAGAAATTTGGTATATATTTGCGAAAATAGCTGAAAAATGCGACCATTTTCTTGACTTTGTGACCAGTGGTGGGTGGTTGTAATTTTGCTACGCCAGCTAACTTCTTTTCATCCGGTTTGGTACCAAATTCATTCAGAGAAAAACCAAGCAAAACGATTTCACGCTGGAGAAAGTCGCACTTAAAAGGCTTGAGAGAAAGTCCTTCCGCGGATATACGCTCAAAAATGAGTCGCAACTTGGCTAATGCTTCTTCTTCGCTTTCTCCACCGGAGACTATATCGTCAAAAAAATTCTGACAAATTTTCTTTTCACCCTTAAGGCCTTTAAGGACAATGTCGAGCAGCTCAGCAAACCTTGCGGGGCCATTTGAGACTCCAAATGGAAGAACTGTGGGGGCGAAAGTACCTTCCCGAGTTACAAATGTGGCTTTCTCTTGAGCCTCTCGAGTCATAGGTACTTGGTAGTAACCCGAACAAAAATCCAAACTGGTGAAGTATTTATTGCCTCGCAGGGACTGAAAAATGTCGTCAATACGTGTCTGAGGCCACTGTACCTTCTTGGTTATCCGGTTCAGAGAGCGGTAGTCGACCGTAAATCTTTGAGAGGTCAGGTTACCGTCATCATCCTTCTTAGGAACAAAAAAGCATGGAGAGGACCATGAACCACGGATGGGGCGAACTAGGCCCTGAGCCAAAAGCTTGTCAACATGAGTCTTTATGTCATTATGAATTTTCTCCGGGTGGTTATATTGCTGCATCCGAATAGGTGGATTGTCACCAGTGTCAATATCAAAGTGGATACGGTCAGTGCGACCAAGTTTGGTTGGGTCCCAGGAGAAAATATGCTTAAACTCCATTATCAGGTCAAGAAGCTTAGTCCGTGTTTGTGGCGAAATGTCAGGACTAATTTTGAGCTTGCTTAAATCAATATTGGCAAAATCTTGAGACGAAAATGCTGAGACAGGCATTGGTGGTGAAAGTGCAGGGTCCTCTGCTGCTGGTGGTGATGGTGGTGAAAGTACAGGGTCCTCTGCTGCGGCTGGTGGAGGTAAAATTTCAGGTGCCTCTGAGTCTGCTGGTGGTGATGGTGAAAGTGGAAGACGAGGAGATACGCCATTTAATTGATCTGAAGTGGTCCCCGGATAATTGGCATCGATAAAATTGAGTGGAACACCGGAGTTTAATGATTGTAAAATTTCCTTGTTTTCGCAGGAATGAAATAAACGTTGTGGATGGCTGGTGTAAGGGATTGTACCAAGGATGGGAGACATTAAACATCGGAGGGACTCATTGCTGGACAAAAGGAAATGCTCCTGAAAATCGTGTCCAAGTAAAAGCGGACAAGGGCTGGATGGCACGACGAAAAACGGGTAAGAAATGTTATGAGAACCAATAGTTATTGGTAAAATTACAAGGCCAGAATCCATAATCGTGTGGTTGCCAAAGTCGGAGAGGCGATAAGGCATATTTGGGTTGATGCGGGGAAGGCCAACGGCCAGGTGAGCTGAAATAATTGAGGCTTTGGCACCATTATCTACGGTGGCGGTGACGCATTGATCATTAATAATGGTGTCAATCGTGACAGGACCATGATTGTTGGAAAAATCTTGCAAATTAATCCGTAATTCAATAGTATTTTGTTGGAAGGTGACATGGCGTTGGACTGGATTAAAGACTTGTGGCGGGCGTAAAATTGATTTTGGCTGCGGTGCCGGGGGACAGATCAATCTGCCCAGGGATCCCCGTTTCCCGAAGGGGAAGGTGATCTGGGCGGGGATCGCGCAGCGCGGTCATCACGACGGCGGGTATTACTTCCGCGAGAGTCGGAGTTGCGACGAGAATCCTGCGGCGAAAAGTCGTGGCGACGACGTAGATCCCGGGGAGACTCATCTCGTCGGCGGTATTCACGCGGTGACTCATCTCGTCGGCGGTAATCGCGGGGAGACTCATCCCGTCGGCGGTAATCGCGGGGAAAGTTGTCGCTCCTACGAACCATGTGAAAATCGCGAGGAGGTGCATCGCGACGGTCGCCAAAGGATCTCCCCCGTGGGTTGCCTCTGCCGCGACCGCGTCCGCGTGTGTGCACTTCAACCCCTTCATCGCGCATCTTCTTGTAGCAGTTGGTAATGACATGTCCGCCTTGGCCGCAGTAGGAGCACTCTTGTGAGCGGCGTCCATTCCCCCGAGCAGATTGTCCTGCTTGGTCATGGCTATGTGGTCGAGCAGGCTGGTCGGGAGATATGTTAAGTTGCATTATGGCGGCCTGCAACTCATTAACGTGCTTGACAAGGCCTTGTATGTCAGTAAAATTGGTCTGCAATTTGATTCCTAGGGCATTGTCTGTACAATTAGCCGGGGCAGATGGCGGCCCGGGTGGAGCTGCTGGTGGCTGTTGGAGACCTGCAAACGCGTCAAGGCCGACGGCGGCGACAGGTGCAGGTGCGGGTAGAGTGAAATTTGTTTGCGGGGGCGGTGGTTGGGCGGTCAATGTTTTCTGAAGACCTCTGTCCTCATAATGCTTCACCAGCGACACCAAGTCGCTATAGTTAAGTGGAGGGCCCTTGCACTCCAGAAACTGACGGAGTGCGGGGTCGAGGTTATCCATAAGGAGACGAATGACATCCGGCTCCGCGTGCCGGGAATATTCTTCCGACATTGCCGCACGGAGTCGTTGTAGATAAACCGAGGCTTTCTCCAGGTCTGGTTTCGGTCGTTTCAGTATATCGAGTATGGACGTTGGATCGTCAACTTCCATTGGGCATTTGGTCAGGAAATTTTTTATGAAAGTGGCCCAGTCGATGTTGGGGTCATCTTGCTCAGCAAAGTTGATCATGAAGTAATGCTGAGCGATAGCATTCGAAAACGCCAAAGGGAGGGTTAATTTGGCCTGAGGAACGGTCAAACGTTTGGCCTCCGTCCACCGCTGGAAACGTTGGATAAAGAGTCGCAGTCCGAGTTTGGACAATTGATGACCATATTTTGGCATTTCAAGGTTTCACCAGCGGGGCTTGCGGTGGGTGTGGTGGGATAGGAATGCCCGTGGAAAAGAAATTGGCCATGTTTGCGTTTGGGGGAGGACACGGTGGAGGTGGAGGTGGAGGCGGCGTAGATGGTCGAGTTGGAATGGAAAGGTGAGCCGGCGAAGGTGGTGTAGAAGGTCGTACTGGTGGGGGAGGAGCAGACGGAAATTGAAAAGCTGCGGCTGGATTCAATGCACGAGGGCCAAAGAAAAAGTTGTGGGTGGGGGCCGGTCGCGCGGCCGGTGGGCTCAAATTGCGAGTATGATCAACACGCGTCCGGTCAGGCGATGGCACGAACTTCTGGTTCGGATCGTTGTGTGCGAAAGAAAGTGGAGAAGGTTGACGTACCTGATTGTCAATTCTATTTTCAGGGAGAATGCTGAACGTGGAATGATGGCCTGCGAAAGTGGGGTCCGGAGGAGAAGGAAGATCGGACAGCGGAAGTGGGTCACTATTGGTATTGCCCAATTCGTCAGTAATTATGCCACACTGGGAACTATCGGTAGGATTAATTTCGATGTCTTCTCTTTCAGACTCAACCTCATAGGGATCACGAAAACGCTGGAAACGACGCCGAGGAACGAAAACAGTAGAACGATTGCGTTCGGCACGCGGTGGGGGTGGTGGGGGTTCACGAAGGCCGAAAAAGTTCCACAGGGGCATGATAATGTGCAGTAATTAAGGGCATTGTGTCACATAACTATGTAAAAATAATTTGATGTAGTGTAAAGTAGTAAAGTGTGAGCTTTTTGTTCACAAGATCCACCAATGTTATGTGCACAGGAGAGGTAGATGTTAACAGTAGAAGCTCTTTATTGTTAATCATGGCAATTACATATGAGCATGGGTCTTAAGTAGCATATACATACATACCTAACTATACACATACCTAACAGCTGGCCTCATCCTATCACTAACTACACGAGGTACAGCTCATACACTCGGTTCCGTCTACATTTATACGGTTATCAGTAAGTAGTGGCAATATGCATGTATCTCAATGGTGAAAGCTCATTAATCCAATTCATTTTATGACTTTTCAACATTAACTCATCCAAGTTAAATACCCGGTATAGCTTAATGCCTCACTTGTTTTAGTCGTCCGAGAAAAAATTCCTAAGTTAAGCAATTTTGAACTTAACGTACGAATGAGATTAGGTCCTTCTCACTTTCCAGGTTCGTTTCCAGATTATTTTCATATGTGGCAATTTATATTAGTAACAGGGTGCCAGGCGAAGAAAATTTGCGAGATGGTAAATTTTTAGGAATACAGGTTGATCCCATACAGCTCTGACACTGGAGCACTTTGAGACGAAAAATTGTCGTCAAGCAAAAAAATTTCAGCATTGTAAACCTCTCGTCCTCTTATTTATGAATTTGTAGTGCAATGCTTTTAGCACTTCCAGACAATGATTTGCCTTTAATATGCTTCAATTTGGCAAATACTATATGTGCACAACTCTTTTGGTCTTCGCAAAAATATTGACCAAAGCTTAACAGGTTGATTTCTTTACTATTTCTACGATCTTAGGATTTCCCTCTGCGTAAAACACGAAAATGACTTTTGTTTTCCTCCTACCATATTGTGATGGCTTCAAGACTAATACCAAATCATAATTTTGGAGCTGCAGTCCTCGGACTTAATTTGTATAAATTCAGGAGGTTGCGAAAACCTAAAAAAAATTCTAAATATTTCGGGCGTGTAAGCGTGCATGTGAACCAATGAGATGAACACTCAGAAATCTAAGGTTTTTAATATATAGTGAAAATCATACTGCCACATGTAAAACCCATGCCCCCAGTTGTTCGATTTATAGTACAACGCTTTTCTTACTGTAAAAACTCGTGGAGTTTTTTACGTGCTAACTCGACAAAAAGTGAAATTGGGAGAAAAGGTCGAGGTTAGGGTTTGACCATTTTTTCTGGCACCCTAAGACTTGGCCATCAAGTCGAATGCTCCACTATCTCATAAAGAACCATTACCAGGGTTTCGTTTTTCCCGTCCAAAACTATTTTTCCCAGGACAGGTGGGAAAAAGTGGGAAAAAGTGGTTTTTACCGTCCAAAACGGGAAAAATCAGCTTTCCATGCATTTAATTATGAAAACATTTAACTTCTTTAATAATCAGTATTTTCGGAATATTTTTGCATATTCGTAATCTCCATGAAATTGCGAAAATTTTGATATACGACATGGCCACTTTTGAACAGTTTTGATTGTTTTGCTGATTTTCTCATAAAAATACATGTGAATTTTCAAAATTATCCGAATTGAACCGTATTACCCACTTTGTTTCTAAGAATTTAATGGAGAAAACGACTATGAATTTGGATTTTGAAAATATTAAGTTTTAAAGAAATTGTTTCGAATCACCCCAAAACACAGCGTCTTCCCAGTTTTTCCCATTTATCCCATTTCCCATCTATTTTGGGTGGATGGTAAAGATGGGAAAAGGGCACTTTTTCCCACCGCCCTGGTAAATTTGGTTTTTACCAATCGTAACCCTGACTATTACCATCACCTCTTTGCAAATTTTCACGAAGATCTGTTGCGAGTTAATACATATATACAAAGAACTGTACACTAGAAAAAGTGAATCTTTTATGAAAATCCATTTTTGCTTACGATATCTGACTTTGGTGCATGATTGTGATGGGATCAGATATACGAATTTCATGATTTTTAGCATACGATGTACATGATATAGGGTAAATGAACAGACAAAATCTTGGCTTTGTAACTTGTTTTTGAAGGGTTGATTGCCACTACTTATTGATAATCCCTCGTACACGCGTCCACCTACATGGTCTCAACTTTTCTGAAATTTTCATATCTTTGCATATATGTATAGTCAGAAAATTTCAAAAATATGCACAAAATAAAAAAATTATTTTGATATTGGATATCGTAAAACATGTCTCTTGGATCAAGAAAATCCAAGCATTATCAAAATCGGATAAAAATTATATTTTTGGCGGCGGTTTGACCGTTGTGTTAATACTTTTGAGTGGGTGTGGCGGGCGAAAATGTGGATATGGACTAAAATCCTCCTTCACTTTTGCTTTACTCATCCAGTTCTGCAATATTTGGAAAGGGCATTCAAATCCGTTAGTTTATTATTCGCGGCCTTTCCTCCTAAGCTACTGACCGTACTCGCAACACTCACAATGGTCTACTAATAAAGCACACCCACGTTCCATACAACATACTGTACAACACCCTTAAAATTCTATACTATGCAATCTCCTAGATGATGCTAATATTTATATGCCAGCCAACGTTAATAAGTTCTTATCCACTAAACTATCTTGCGCAAATGTCATTATACGTATAACATGCTACATAATACTCACTACATTTGACAACTACTCAATAATCAGTATTTAAAAATTAATAATGTGACCATTTCGTAACGACGCGATTATTTAGAGTGTGTTCATTCATGCGTCACCCCTCAAAGTGGAATAACATTACAGCGCTTTTGCAACAGCACACAATGTAATCTACAATCCACGCGTCAAAAATTTCGTAATCTAACCAACTCTGCTCGGATGAGCAAATATAAAAGGGAAACAAACTTCCATTCTTTGCAATCCATAGCCTCACACTCTTTGTTTTACCCGATTATTACCCACTACCTCATCCCCACAATACAAATAGATACATAAAGATCACTTGCATAAAGGTCATGAGTTAACATTGAGAGCTAATCAAATCCGCGAGCCTTTATTACTTCTTTAGGCCGAAAAAGGTTCTTCATTAATATTTCCCACGTATCATTTTTGGCCTTTTATGAGTGACCGAGGTTGGTCGATTTGATTGCCTCCTCAATCAATTGATAGGAGCCAAAATAAATAAATAGATTCAGGTAATCCCTTCATCAGTCACGTTTTCCCTGGCGCACGAATTATTTAATTATGAATTTCCTCCTTAACCCTATTCCCTTTATAAACTTGATACTCGCCATCGTCCCATCTTTTGGACAACGTCTCACCGCCGTGTGTACGGCCGGTCGTCAGAATTCCAATTCCCCCACTAAATTAAAATCTGCCGTACCTCCCTCTTGTATAAATGTCCAAACTTAATAAATATGTCCCATAGATATTGGGAATTTCCTGGGAAACGTAACAATTCTCAGAAGATTTATTTAAATAAACTCACAATGCGAGTGCATGAAATATTATGGTCGATTCATTAAAATAGACCCTTTTTTTGAACGATTTTTTCAATTCATTGACAATTTCTAGGGGGTGTGGTCGTACTTTAGAAAACTCCTTAAAATTTTAAAATTTTCTCCATCGTTCAAGATTTTCAGAACCGTTTAAATTTTTGAAATCCTTCAAAAACTGACCGAGAACCAGTAACTTGAATTTTCAATTTGTGGCCAAAAAGGCTCGATTTTTACAATCAAATCAGACAATAACAACGTTTTCACCTTGCAAATCGAATGTAACGTTCGATTTGGCGCCAAAATGTGGCCCACTTCTACGAATATGCGGAAATGCCAAACCCAACATAGTTTATAAAGAACTTACCTGTAAAACTGCCATGGTCTTAAAAATTTCTGAGTTTAGCACTTCATTCACTCGCATTGTTAGTATGCTCTTAGATAAAACCCAAGCTTTAATTTAACAATGTAGACTGCGAAAGATCAGGTGTAAATTAAGCACCACGACTTAGGAATCCATCTAAACAATGTAATATTGTTACGGGAGAAACTTTCTGCGAGAAAGTGACTCATTTTGTTACAAATCTGTAACATTTCTGTGCCAAGCGGTAGCAATTTTGATACCAAATAGTAACAATAAAATTTTTATCTTAGCAGGCGAGTGAATAAATTCGTATCAAAATATGGCTTCATCTTCTACTGAATTGTTTTAAGTCCTTAATTAATATAATTAAATTAATATATTAATTAATAATTAATTATATAATTAAATATTGGAATTGGAATTAATATATTAATTCTTTAATTTTAAAATCCAGGAATGCACCCTCATCCCTACGACTGTTCTATGTTTTTCGGATGTCATAACGGAGAGTTGGAGTTATTTCGCTGTCCGGAACCTTTACTTTTTGATTGCGTCTCCAAAACTTGTATGCCACCTCAACTAGTCAATTGTGACATTACCTGCGTCGGAAAGCCCAACGGTGTCCATCCCCACCCGCAAGATTGTGCCTTGTTCATCACCTGCGTCAATGAGGAGCTGGACGTTTACAGGTGTCCTTTTCCACTACTTTTCGATCCAATCCTACTCGTCTGCAATTATCCAGAATTTGTTTCCTGCTAATTAATTTATGATAAGACCAATTCTTTAATAAATGTCAAATCCATTTCATTCCAAATTCACTTTATGACAAACGTAAGCATACAAGCATACTTTCAAACCTTCAATGCGCAGTGTGAATGTGGCCCGAGCCATGGTAGCCAGTCGCCTATATTGAATAAAATATTTAAAGAATCTAGTTCTCTCATAGGGTACTACCACATATTTTACATAAGGGCATCAAGATTGGTCATTATAACAGTCACACTCTCCTCCTGAATTTCCCCTACTTCAGCGCTATATAACGACTTCGAAATATCAGCATTTGTCGACTTTCTTTCTGCAAACCGAACCTTGAAAGTTGTCCATAAAGGCTCAATTGGGCGGAGGTCAAGAGATTGACCACCCAATTAGAAAACCTGATCTCTGATGCATTTTGAATGATTTTTGACACATGCATCACTTTTGACGATAAAAGGGCGGTCAAAATAAA